CCAGTCAAACCACACACAGCACACTGCATTTCACTTGTTCCCCACTTTCCCTCTTCCTTGCACCAGGGGGAAGTAAGGCTGAGAAGGGGGTGACCCTCAGCTCTGCGCTGGAGCCTCATGGTATAAGCTGAGGACCGTGGTAGACAAAACAGATGCAGTCCTCGTGTCCAACAGGGACACAGAGATGCAACTGTGTTATACGTGGGGACACTTACCATCATCAGACACAAAAGAACCAGAATCCATAGAGGCCAACTGGCAGACTGGAATGTGGCTTACATCTGTCCAGAGCCTGTCCTGGCCGTAAGTCAGGAGGCACACAAACGACCACCAGATTATACAGGTTTCCCAGAATAGGTTAGGCACTAAAATTATTTAAATCTAAAACATCCTGCTGGGCATGGTGGCACATACCTGTAATCTCAGCACTTGGGAGGGCAAGACAGGAGGATCACCCATGAGTTCAAGGCCAGCCTAAACTACACAGCAGGACCCTGTCTCCAAAAAAAAAAAATCCTAAAATACTCATTAAATAAACATTAAAATGAGTAAGCCAAGTCTTACCAACAAAAGGACTAGGAAAAAGACAAGGCAAAAAAGAAGACCTAGCCCAGCTATAAGAGTAACTGTTACAATAAAGTAGCTAGCTCCATGTTCCAACCTTCACAACCCAGTGATGAAAATGTATCACAGCAGTCATGAAAGGCAACCAATCTGCAGGTAGAGCACTATGCAAAGTATACCAAAGTATACCCAACACTGCCAGTCAGTGGGGTCCAGCACCCTGGCTCTTCAAGAGTCTCAGATCCTTTCAGCCAACCTCACAGCCCTTGCTAGGAAAACACCCTGCTAAGAAAAACCTTACCAGACTGCTCTGCCCAGCTCTGCTTGGTGGGTCTTTCCACACTGGAACTTCGTCCTCCTGCCACACCCGCTGCCAGTCTTCAGCCTGATGGTCAGTGGGGTTCCTACTCTGAACCTGAATTTCACCTCTGCTCTCCTCACAATGCCCTGCCCCACACAGCCCACCCTCTGTTCACTCCCTCCCAGCCCCATGGGGGGTGATTCAAAGGCTCCCTGGAGGGCTGGTCTCCTGCGCTGCCCCCAGCCCCATGCCCACACCCTTTCTTATTTCCTGCTTTCTGAACTGGGACTGGGGGGCTCCTTGGTGGACAAAGCTTGTTTAACTGCAGCACGCTAAATCAGAGGCTGAGGGCATATGAATCTCAGTGGTGGACCGAGCAATGGTATGTGCCACTGAGTAGGTCCCAGTTACTGGGAGCACCTTCCAATCACCCAGAAATCTCCAGATGCCACCCACTGGCTGCAACCTCTTCCCAGGACTCACCCAGAAGACACTGCCTCTAACTTAACTAGTGGGCCTTCCTGCGTTGCACTACCAGTCTACGCCTATTCAAATGTGCTCCGTAAGATAGAAGTGTTGCTTTCATCACTAGACACAACCACAGGCGGGCAGGCAATCTGGCATAGGAACGGGGCCACTTTTCTAATAAATACAACTTCAGTTTTGCAAGTTCAACAGTTTGGGGCAACAGTAGATTCAAACTGTTCTATTTACATTTGGCTGTTAGATATTGTAGGACCTTGCTGGTCAAAATGTAACAAGCTCACTGGACATTTTCAAAGTATAAAGGAGTATTAGAAAGTTGCTTATTTTCATTTATATATAATACTTTGTTTACCACCACGGCAACAGGAATAACAACAAACAACCTAAGCATTTCTGCCCAATTCATATTCCTAGAACACTTTACTAGTCTCAGCACCAGACCTGGGCTTCAAAGACACCGTCCTCTAAGAGAATATCCTGCATTCTTTCAGACAAAAGGAAAATACCGCTTACTGGGCCAGGCAAACCTACTCCCGTGCTCCACAACCTGCCCCAAGGCCCCTTCCAGCCTGCATTCTGCCTTCTCTGGTGCCTGGTGATTGGCCAGTCACACTTGTCAGGAGACCTCCACCTGCCCACTTTCAGAAGGCCTGGGGCACCTCCCAGACTCCAGTCCCAGGAACACGTGTGCTTCCAGTAAGTCCTGGCACCTCAGAGAGGAAAATTACTTGGCCCTGCAGCCTTGGCTGAGAAGCAAGGACTTGTGGAATCACTTGTTTTCTGGGAAAGCCCAGGTGCTCATGAGCGTAATGAGCCCCACTCATGCCCACTCCAATGGGACTCACCGATTACGCAGAGGAGGCCCTGTACCTACTCTTACCACAGCTGTCTATCACATCCCCTACACCCAGGACCATGGTCTTCCCTTATACACCAAACTGATACATTATTTCGTTATTTCAACAAAATGATAAGCCACATTTACAGCCTAAAGTACTGCACTTTCTAGTCTTCTAAACTCTGTGAATTTTTAATACAAACTATAAAATGTAAATTAATTTTAAAGTTGAAATTGGAATAAAATCATAGTGGTTCAAATAAGAGACCAGAGGTTGTCATGTTTTTCTCTATTGTACAGTGATTTTCAATTCAACAGACACATCTAAAACAAACATTAAGAATATTACGATCTCTGAATAATTGCTCCAAACTATCTCTTAAACTTAATTTAACTCAAAAAGAACTTGTAACATTAACCTAAACACTAAGCTTAAATTCAAGAAAAAAGACTTTGCAAAAAATTCTTCAGGCCCAGCATGGTGGTGCACACCTGTAATCCCAGCACTGAGGAGGCTGAGGCAGGAGGACTGAGTTCGAGGCCAGCCGAGACTACATAGTGAGCTCAAGGCCAGCCTGAATGAACTACATAGGGAGAACTTGTCTCCAAAAGAAAAAGAAAAAAAGAAAAAAAAATTTTATATATATAAAATAATTCTCCAGCTTCATACACCAGCACATAGCTGTAATCCTAGCTACTCAGGGCGCTCAGCCAGGAGGATTACAAGCTCAAACCCAGCGTGGGCAACTTGGTGAGAATCTGTCTCAAAATAAAAAATAAAAAAGGACTATAGTAGCTCAGTAACCCTGGGTTCAATCCCTAGTACAGCCAAAAAACAGTATCAAAAAAACCTCATTCCACTAGTAACAATTATCTTTACAGTTTATTCCCTTAAACTGTGTTACCAACCTACACCAAAATCTTGCAAATGATGCCTCCTTAAAGGTAGCAGCTTGGGGAGCAGCTCCCAAACCCAAAGCCAGGCCCACCTCACTTCCCTTCCTACTCATCTCTTCCTTCTCAAACTCTAAATTCTGCTCCCTTGCTGAAAGGTCAATTTACTTCCATGCTTGGTATGTTGGCATGTGTAGAATTCAATACAAGTTACTGAAGAGTAAAAAGAGAATTTTTTAAAAAACCCCTAAAGCTTCAGAGTATTTGATTTCCTTTACTATGACATCAACATTTTCACAAGAGAAAGAGAGATAAAAGAAAACACAAACTGCCAAACTAAGGGGTAGCTGTTGGCAGTAGGTCCACACTGGGTTTTGGCACATCCACTGCCTCCAAAAAGGAAGAAAAGTCACTCAGGAGACTGAGGTAGGAGGAAGACAGTGAGTTCCAGACCAGTCTGGACTACACAGTCAGTTCAAGGCAAGCCTGAAATATATAGTGAGATCCTGTCTCAAAAAAACAATAGAAAAAGAAAAGTAAGGAAGAAAGAGCTGCTATTAAGAATTACGGAGTAAGCCAGTACACCTTTCCAAAGCTATCTAAGCAACAGCATCACGCTAGCGCACACACAGTATTTTAAAAAGCCCAGCTTCTACCAGCATCTCCAATAACTGAAAGTAGTTTTTAAAAAATTCCAGTTTGTGGACAAAAGCTGTACTTGCAATGATCCAGAAACGAGCCCCTAAGGAATAATTAGCATTTCCTAGAGAGCAAGTTTGTTTTCCAAGCAAAAAAAAAAAAGGTTAACTTCATCAAACCATAGAACCAAGCTCAATTGTTTTGTAGCATGGATTGACATTCTCCTGAGACCTGGTCAAGCTCCACATAACCTTGTAATAATTTTTAAAGAACCAATTGCCGCTGCTGTTCTAAAAAAACTTATGTTGAAAGTATCCATTTTCCCAAAACTTTATGTTTGAGAGTATGGACTTAAAAATGCTTGAACTTTTAATTTTTAGGCGACCAAAAACAGTGGGAAAAGAAGCTCCTGTGTTTAGCACACTGCATTCTGGGAATATTTGTTGCTGAAAATGTGTCAATACTAACGAGGCAGCACTCCTCTGTCAGGAAGGCACTTTCCGTTTTGGCCACTTCTTCACTGCATGCAACTAACAATTCCCTTGGAACCTACCTACCTGCTGATTACGAACAAAATATGCAAACTCCCAAGACGCACAGAAAACCTTGATTGCATACACAGAGGAAGGCCTTGCCAGGCAGGGAGACCCGTGGGTGCGGACAGGGATGTGCCTGTGTCAGACTGGGCAAGGAGTCGCACATTGGGAGGGTCGTGAGTGCGGGTCCTGGTCTGCCTGTGCGTCAACGTGTAGGACCGACAAGGCTGGAGTGGGCAGGTAGAGTGGTGAGGGATGTGGCCTAGAACCTCCAGTCTGGGTCGCGGTTGGGGTACGGTTGTGGGTCTTCCTCTGCTCGTGGATAGTGGGTCCTGTTTGTGGGTCCGGACCAGGGTCGGAGATCTGGATCTAGTGGTGGTGGAGCGTACGGATCGGGGTCGGAATTCGGTGATGACGGAGTGTGGATCGGGGTCGATGTCGGGGTCCTGGTCTGGATCTAGAGCTGGCGGTGTGTGCGGATCGGGGTCGCGATAGGGACCCGAGTAGGGATCTGGTGGTGGGGGTGAGTGTGGGTCGGGGTCGGGGTCCGGGTCGGGATCTGGGGTGGTGGTGGGTGTGGGTCGGGGCTGGGGCCGGGGTCGGGGCCGGGGTCGGGGTCGGGGTCGGGGTCGTTATCCGGTGGTGGTGATGGATGCGGATCAGGGTTGGAGTCCAGGTCGAGGTCTGGTGGCGGGTCCAGGTCGGACCCTCATCCAGGCCGCAGCCCCCACCCACCACTCACACGCGCGGCAGCTGCAGCGGGGGCGCCCCGCGCCGCTGGAACACGCCGTCCACGAACACGCCGTTCTTGCCGAGGCAGCGCAGGTAGAAATCGCCGCCCGTGTCGGGCCGGGGCTGCGCGGGCTCCGGGGTCGCCGCGCCATGGCCGCCGCCCGGGGGCGTGAAGATCTCCAGGTGGCGCCGAGAGATGAAGCTCGAATGGCCCATGCTCACGTCCACCGAGCCCTGCGACGAGTTGCGCCCAATGGTTACCGAGCGCTTCTTCATGAGGTACTCGAACTCGCGGCCCTCGAGCC